AGGACCCAGGAACTTTTGCACGTTGGTGTAGCTCTGGAGAACTTTGGGACTACGAAGGACAATATCGTGGATACCTTGATGCTTAGGAACAGTTAAATATCGGTAATTTCCTCCCGTGTTTTACACAAAAGTAACTGTCTCCTGGAGGACTCCATGACTGAAGCTGCTTTACTTTAATTTGATGTCAACGTTCCAGACGCAAACTTTAAACCGACTCCGTGGTTACTGCAAGTTACCCATTCAAATGTGTGAAAAATTGGTTACATTTGTTTTCCTAAAGCTTGAAGCTGTCGCCACCACACATATGCTCATTACAAGTTTCCCTCGTCCAATTCCCTCTAGGGAGTGTAAGTATTGTAGTAGCTGCATGAACTAGCCGTCTGCTCAACTATGAATTGGATGTTGAATACTCTTTTCCGGTACGTGGAACGGATCTCGGCTGCCGGTCTCCACGTTAATTTCGCTATCCATACCGGCTTGTCACATCAGATATCCGAGCCAGATGCTTTGCAAACAGCCATCATGAATTTGGTAAAAGCTTGTGCGGTTTACCAGGTACAGTTAACTCTTGCTATGTGTATCATCTCTCAACAGCCCAGTCTTGATGATATCACAATATCTGCTCACTGTTGGTGACCGCATGGGAAATCCGGTACCTTTGAGCCATTTCTTTGTTTCATTGTCTAGCAGTAAAATAGGCACTATGACAGGCCTCCATCTATAGTTAGGTTGAGCAATGTAACAGCCAGAAGAGCAGTGTACGTTTAAGTTACAACGTAGTGCATCCAATAGAACGAACCTCTACTTCAGCAACAGCAATAGGTAATACTGGTGCCCTAAAACTAGTGCGAGAATATTTCCAAGAAAGCTGTGCTTATTCTGTGGTTCATGATCTACGTTGCAAGTTAGTAGTTACCGTTCTACAGGTTCGTCCATGAAATCAGTTCCGTTCAATGGTTCAGTAGTGTACGATGGGGTAACTAGCATAACTCTACAAGACCCAAAGGATGCAAAATGCAAAAGGAAATTAAAATCAAAAATGTCCAACATAGAACAAGACTTATCATTAGTAAAACATGGCACTTTATCACACTGTTGCGTAGCGTTTAGCATTTAGACGAAAGTCTAAAAGTCTTTCGAATGTCGCGATGTCTGGTGCGTTCACCACATGTGTTGGTAGTGCATTCCAGTGGGAGCAGATTCTAAGAGAGTAAAAATACCTCCTCCAATCCAACCGGGAGTGCTACGTTACTAGTTTCAGGTGGTTGCCGCGGCACCTTTTGTATGGTGCTAGGGTCAGCAGTGATGTACATGGGGGATCGCTTTCAGTTAGTATCTGGTATGTAAGAACGAGATCCTCGCGAAGCCGTCGGTATTCTGAAGAGAACACATTGAGTAAACAAAGGCGCAGTTCGTAACTGAGACCAGATAATCCACGCGTCGCCTTGGTGACTCTTCTTTGAGGTTGCTCCAAGTGACGAAGATCTCCTTTTAACCACAAGCGCCAGGCCTGAATTGCATATTCAACGTGGGTACGAAGATACGTGTTAACCAACAATGGTACTAACCATCGTTCAAATGTTTAAAGAACTTCAAGTTCAAGTTCGCCACATTTGCTACTTTAGCAAATTGAAGCGAACTGCCAAGACTTTCTTGAACGATGATACCTAAATCTCATTCACCCGTCACCTGTCGTAAAACATGCTGTCCCGGAAGACATGAGCTGATGAAGCTGCTAGGCACTTTGAAGAATTCTGTGGGAACTAGTTCCTTTCTTCCCATTCGTTACTCCGGTCCACATCGTTCTGGAAGTAGACACGATCGGTTGCTGAGTGAATTGCTTTCTAAATTTCGGCCTCATCTGCAAATATTTGCATCTGAGATAAAATATTTTCTGGGAGGTCATGTATGTAAATTAAAAACAGTAGCATGTCGAGGACGGATCCTTGCGGTACACCACTGGCTAGCACAAACTTTCCTGATGAGGTTTGGCTATTCTTATCTTGATGTTTCTGTCTTGTACGTAATCTTCCAATCAGGTGAACAGGGTACCGTTGATATCGTAAACCCCAGCTTTCGGTGCGGGACTAAGTAATTGACCCTATCGAATGCCTTAGAAAAGTTAACGTAATTCACAACTATAGGGATTCCTTCATCGGTTGCCCTGGTTTATGAATCCTGAGCAAGGAGCAAATTTGTGAGACAAGATCGTCTGCGTATGACATCATGTTGGACATTAGAAATTATTTGATTATCAAAATATTGCGTCAGTTCATCTGCGATTACCGACTCCGTTACTCTTGCTAAAACAGGTAGTAGATAATAGATCGGTAGTTAGCAGGAACCGATCGCTTACCTTTTTTGTATATCGGGGTGATGCTTCCACGCTTTCTCACAGATGGGAGTGTTTGGGAGTCAAACAGACCCTGGAAAAGGGCTGGAAGATGTACTGCAATGGTGGGAGTAAAAGTTTTGAGTACCTCTTGGCAGATCTGGTTGATTCCCGAGGCATTGTTCCCCCGGAGAGACTGTACTTGGCTTGCGACGTCCGCTGGGGTAAAGGTGACGTTGGATAAGCCAACGACATTTGTTGAGGTTGATAGAGCAAAGATTCCATGGTATTTTTAGCCACTGAGCCAAACTGCTGCAGTAGTGCGTTCGCGGTAGCCACCTTAGTCAATGGGTTTATGAGTGCGGCTGGGAAAATCTGGTTCTCCAATTCACTCCACATCTTTGTGATTGTTTTACTTCACGGAGGTTTACTGGTCACTAGTGAATATGGGATATGTGTTAACAAAACCAAATAGAAGTCTAAGTTTTCCCAGCTGCATGCAAGTTAGTGTAGAACATCGCATGCACGCTGCTCACATTTTTATCCAACTGGGTAGGAACAACCCACATTAAAGCAATAACTTTGGGTAGTTGGTGGAAATGCCTAGCATAATTTTGCTTGATCTCAGCACACAGAGGAGAATCGGCAGCGAATTGTAACGGTTGTGACCAGCGGTGTAAATACAAGGGAGAACGGTTTTGGTTGTATCATTCCAAGAGGATGCCTTACCAGAAATATGTATGATCGCCGATTGGACGCCTTAGTCTGTTTAATACTCAGATGAATCAAGAGCATATCGAGAAGGTAGTTTATCACAGATCGTACCATTTATCATTGCACTATTGTCCAAGTAACTCATATGAATGGCGTGCAGCAATCACAGCATCTCACTTAACGCGTGGCACCCAGTTAGACGAGCTTTACTCCTAGGTGTGATGTTAACCGGCTTCCAAAATCAGTACAGAGCGCTGACAGTAAATGAATGGTATACATTTATTAAATTGATATTTCCTGGTGCAGTATTTGATACGCAGAGTGCACTGCAACTGAAACCGATGCCACCCGTCAATGAAAGAAAGTGTCCAAGTGTATACATCTGGGGTTTGTATCTCCCAACCTATGCATTTTACGAGTAATTTAACAAGTTTGCGCGCAGTAACCTGCCGTACGAACTGGAGGTACACTTGAAATACTTCACTGTACCAACATCCATTTAGGCTCAAGATGCGTTATAGACCCAGACCCAACCTTTGTACATTAGGTAAAACCCAGTACAGCCTATATACTACTCGAAAGGTTTCCGCTCTACAAAGATACTGATTACGATCTTTGAAGCTTGAGTATTGCATCCCGCTGCGCGATAACAGTTTGCTCACGAAGACCACTACGTCGTGCTACGCGTTGCATTAGGATTTTTGTTTGTTCCCCTGTTGTCATGCCACATTCTATTAGTCCAGTGCTTTACTTGTTCCTGATGTCAAATGCGGCCCAGCATGTCCATGGAGCGAATGTATTATATATGAAGGAACTGTCTCTGCCCATCTGGACGGCATCATTTTGTTACCGCGTATCTAAATGCCGTATATATCAACGTAGGCTGTTTTTGATCGTGCTAATATGCAGTTGCTTTGTTTCGCAGCTGTGTATCCTTAAGGGTCTCATTTGCAAGCCGTGATTTTTGTAGATGATGTATCATATATTAATATCGCCAGCTAGCATTCGTCTTGGCTACTGTTAAACTAACTTCTACAAGCACTCTTGGGCTGCTATTGTTCACGGTGACAGTCCGAAAACCTCTTTGACAAGAATCCTCGCAGCTAGACTCAACCAGACACCACACCTACACCACGACACCACGTCTTGTCGAGACTAGCCGGTAGCGCTCATTTACCGAATCATATTGCATCCGAACCCGCGAACTTACTCTTACGAACCAGTGGATTAAGCAATGTGTGACAGCGACGGGCTACTATGACTGATAAACGCTATATAGCGTGGATCATCCTCCGCTCTCATGCAGGCTATGAATATGCCAAGGATGTGGCTGGTTCCCAGCACTACGACTTTCTTCGTAAATTAAAATCCTATCGCAATCACAATTAGTTCGACTATTTCCCTACAGTAGTTCGGAAACACGGTCGGCTAATTCGGTTACTTCATGTTACCCCATGCATGTCGTTTGAAACTACGTAGTTTTCTTTTCGTCGATCAATACCGCTGAAAGTTGGTTGTCACAGTGTTGCAGGAACCGTCTGATCGTCACGTTATTTTACCGGACAAGGTCGGTACAATTTGTTTACTCTCTCTGACCGAAATACCAAGGATTCCATTGGTTGCGGTAGAACCCTTACCGATACCTTAGCACCAACTCTGGTTTCCTTTATTTGAGTTGCTCACGCGTGTGCTTGGTGGACGCTCGCTATACCGGCTTAGACCGCTCTGATGACTGATTGAGATTGTTTTGGTGACTCTTCATGTTTCCCCTTCCATTTTAGTGAACTTAACGCCACTGTGGATGCACAGTACCATTGTGTTGCAGATAAACTCCACGGCGTAGTCATTAATCAGCCAAACACCACATTCATCTCTCCCTCATTGATTAACCGATCCGTTTTATTGCACATTTCGACTGTCTCCGTTCTTTCTTTCCTCTCACCTTCACGTCCAGAGCAAGTGGACAATTGCCTACGTCATGGGCTACGCGAAACGGCACCGTTGTTCCCTCGAGACGCAGCGGTGAATACGACTGTGCTGCTGCGCAAGTTGCGCTCAAAGAGCCCGGAAATTGCCAGTTGGCTAGACGAGTTGGAAGAAAAAGGAAACGGAGGCAAGCGTAGTCCGCATCTGAAAGCATCCACCAACAATCGCATGAAGTCTCCGCTTCGCTTCGCATGGATTAATTCATTTAGCAGCAAGTGAGTGTCCTGTATCTTCGGGTTTACTTTTCACCGGAAGTGAACACTGAGCAATGATTTTATACAGGTTAAGAAGCATTGCTTTACAAGCGCCGTTAAGTGGTCTGATGTGTTAGCGAAAAACCTTCATGAAGGAAGCAGTTAGTAGTTTTCCTGCCAAACTAATGGATTTATCGTTTTTGATGCAGTAACCCTGCACACCGAGTGTTTCCATAGCTTCGATATGCGATAAAGTAAATCCAAGATATTCCCCGGGAGTAGGATGGAGAGTAGCGTCAAGTAACAAAATATAAGTGGCGGAGTGCGTCATCCAACCGACCTTTAAATATCGCTAGCGTGGGTGCAGAAACAACCGATTCGGGGAGAGCGTTCCATGGTTGACACACACGAATGGAAAAGAAATTTCTACGACACGCCAGACGGCTGTACTGTTTTGCTATTTTCAAGGACTGGCCTCTGAGTTTGGTGTTGCTGCTGAGTTGCTCTAAAGAGCGGCACACTTAGTTTGGATTGTGTAAAATCACATCCGCCATAATCAAGTCGCCTCGTAGTCGTCGCTACCGCCCGCTAAATACTCCCAAGCGTTTCACCTCTGCTCGTACGGAAGGTGGTGCATTCCAATGACGTAATTAGAAGCTCAACATTGTGGTTGGTCCAGTGCAGTAAGGTCGTTCTTCAGCCATGGCTGCCACGCGTGAATTGCGTATTCGACATGGGGGCGAACATGCGTATTGTGCATCTGTCTGAAGATAGAGGTGTCCATCTGTCCGAACGCCAGTCATAGCAAGCCGACGTGCTGGTTACCAGCTTGTGAGGCCTTTACGGATTGCTGGGAACAACCCAAGTTATCCTGAACAAGCACGCCAAGATCGTGTTCGACGGATGATCGCTGCAGTACTTACGTTCCAAGCTTGTAAGACTAGGTACTCTGGTGTCTTATGGAGAGTATCTTGCATTTGTCCACGTTGAACTGTAACAGATTTCGGGTTGACTAATCATGTACCGTATCTAAGCCACACTGCGGGAAATTCTGATCAGCATCCGTCTGAATCCGGCGCCATATCATGAAATTGTCAGCACACAGCAGGAAAGTTGAAGCGGTTTTCTGTGCAAAGTCACTAATGAATACCAAAAACAACCGTGGACCTAGAATTACTACGGAAGGTGGTATGAAGTAAAACAGTGTAAATATATTCGTCACACATGCACGTACTCACACAGAACAGTTCCTTCAACTGCCACGAGTGTCATCTACCGGGACACCACTTTATAACCATAATAAAAGAGGTGCCTCGAAAATTGTCGCGTAACTTCATACAGCAAATGAAGTCCTGCGGTTTTCATTAGAGCTATAAGGTTCAGGAAGCTGCTCTGATCCGGACGCTCAAATCCTGTAGATGCACACGCTTTGATTTTCATGGAAGCTGCAACACAGATTAAACAAACGGGTACTAACGAGAAAATGTCTGACTACGTAGACAATTCCAACAAGAGGACAAACAGTAGTTCAATGGAACGATTTTATACGTAATACGGATACAAAATCTATCTTGACAGATCCTAATGGATGGTTTGTGTGAAGTACATAGGTACGAAAAAAGAAATTGCATTAAATTGAAACGCGCGTCTTTGTGTTGCAGAACTCAGTCCTTCTGGTACAAACGTTTAATCAGCAAAGTCAAGTCCGCGAAAAGTACAGCATGTTTGGCAAGCCAAACTCCCAGATAGAAATTGTACATTCAAGTCCAAAACTAACAACCCTTCTGAGTCGATGAGATTCCTCGTTTGCCTAAGTTAAACAAACGGTGAATCACTCACACGAATATCGGCCAATCCGACTTCAGTAATCGGATCCGTTACGCCCGCCTCCCATTGGCTCTCTGCCTAGCTGGGTTGGTTCATCTGCTCACTGTGATCTGCTACTACCACCGCATCCTCTATTTTTCGTGTTCTTGCGCCTCCGTGTTGACATCCAGTCCGTAAACCTTGCCACTCCACGTCGTCTTCGCTGTATCTGCGGCCATAGTCTTCTTGCTTCGCGCCTTCTGACACTCCACTTACAATCCGGTCTCTGGTCTCGTCTCAAATGCACTCGATTTTTCTGAACGGTTTCCTTCCAACGTTTATTTCGTATGACTTGTCACCGACCCTCGAAGTCAGTACACCTGTCTTCTACCGCACTTGACTATCGGGTAATGGTTGAGCCCCCACTTCCTTCCCCATTTTTAACTCAGGTAGTATCCGTGCATTGCGGTCGAAGTACCTTTTATCAGTGGTCATTCGTCGTCGCAGGTTGTTCTGTAATCGTTCGTGCTGTGCCGAAACTGGGCGCAAAAGTGTGGCAAATGCCGGTATCAGAGTTCTAGTCCTTCGGCTGTATAGACGCTGCACTGGGCTCAACCCGATATTCTTTGAAGTAGTGTTGCGATTCTCCAGTAACATGAGGTAGGGGTAGTCGCCAGTTGCTCTAGCCTTTGATAAAGTCGCTTGGCCTGCTTCACTGCCGGCTCCGTCTTTCTATTCGTTTGACTGTGATTTGGGCTGGTTTGCTGGTTGCGAAGGCCTGGAATGCAGCGCTGGTAAACTGAAGCCCATTGTCGGAGACCAGCTCCTCCGGTATACCGTGCCGCGCGAACTGACATCTCAGCTTGTTGATTACTGCCTCCGCGGTCGTAGTGGCGAGTAAGTTGATTTCATAATAATCACTAGAGTAATCCACCGTGAGTAAGTACTCTTTCCGTTATCACTGAATAAATCCACCGCCACCTTCTGCCACGGTCGGTCAAGGACATCACGCCGCATCATTGGTTCCCCCGTCTGCCGCACTTCGTGTGAACCGCACACCTCACACTTCGATACATTATCTCTTAATTGAGCCATCATTCCTGGCCTAAAGATCAATTCTCTTACTCAGTTAATGGTATAGTTGGCACCAAGATAAGCACGATGAACGTATATCAGCTTTTCTCCTCGGCGCGATGACAGAATCAGAATACGGCTTCCCGTGACCAGCAAACCATCATAGACAGAGAGTTCATCCGGAAAATTGAAGTAGGGTGTTAGTTCGTTCAGCAGCTGCTTCTTTGTCTATGGTCACCCATTTAGAATAACGTCACGCAAAGCTGAATATGTTGCATCTTTCTCTGTATGGCGCCTTATTTCCTTTAGGTGATCTTCTATCAAGTCAAGTCAAAGTATAAGCTTTATGCACCCAATAGGATGCATTTTCAGCATTTACATTGTCAATTGTGAATTTGCTAATGGGTTACCATTAAAAAGTAAAGTTTACAATGGGTAGAAAATTGAGGATTCTCTAGCATTGTTCTATCGAGCAACGATCCCAAAATGCTGAACTAAATCTACGGGATTTGTATGCATTAAAAACGCAAAAGTTTTCATGAAAATGTTTCTTCAAAATTCGTTTCAGCTGACGTAGAATTTTGGGCCCAGAGACAATAGATCGCGGATTGTGCGCGATATTGGGCGTGTATGTTTAATGTTGGATAGGGTAAAGAGCCTCAGTGACCTTGGAAGTTGTTTGAACAAAATATCTGTCAGCGTACTCGTGCAATACTGAGAGATATACAGTCATCTTCATCATCAACAGCACTACACCAGCCATTTGAACTGATGCTTCGCTGCCATACAACCATGAGGACCTATGAAATAAAGAATAAGAAGATGGAGAGAGGGGGACTTACCTGAAAACCTTAATGCCCTAAGCAAACATTCAGGGTCAAGGCGCCTACACCTTGAGTATACAACATACCGTCACAAACAGCTGACCATCGTGCAAAGACAAGGCGGCATCGGCGAGACAGCTTCCTTGCGGCTTTCACTGCCACGCGTCATAATCAGCCATTACCCCGCAGATAACTCAGCATCAAACACACTTTAAACAGGCAATCCGATTAGGAGACGACAGCAGACGCGCCACTCATGTCGGTTGCGAGCCATGTCCTGTAAAGTCTCTAGCCAAGCACAAGGCGAGTCATGTGGACTCCAGCCCGGAAGGCGAGACGGACCAACGGCACCCAATTTGGTCGTCAGTGACTTCATTTCATAGTGCCAAGTCAACTTCTGTCCTCCTCGGGCCTTGCGCCAGCCTACACCTATTAGACTGAACAAAGCCCTCCTAGGTAAGCAGTGACCAGGCATGCGTAGCACGTGCCCGAGCCAATGCAACTCATTCAGGGCTATCTGTTGTTCTAGGGAGCTAGCATGATTATCACTACCTTGTACTCGCCTATGCACATCATCGTTTTGGACACGCTGGTGCCATCCGACACCAGGAATGCTTCGCAGACAACGATGATCAAAGACTTGAAGGCGCCTCAGATCTTCAGACCGAAGAGGCCAAGTCTCACTAACATAGAGCAGAACGGCCCTCACTGTGGCCTTGTATACACGACCTTTCAGACGGAGGGAAATTCCCTTTCGTCACCAAAGATGCTCTCAGATTCAAGAAGGCAGCTGTGACCTTTGCAATGCGTGAGCTGACGTCAGTTTCTATGTGCCCATCACTGCTGATGCAGCTGCCAAGATAACTGAATTGTGAGATATACTTGATAACGTAAAAATGATGTTTGGGTAAAACTGCGACGACAGATTTAATGGCCCTGCCCACTGCCAATGTTGCACTAGGTTTACTGCTTCGATCTCTTCCGGATTATATTCGGTTATTGGCAGATGAGCTCTTGACTGCATATAAGCGATGAGCATCTGTTCACCATGCATATACACAATATCCGCGTAGTACTTTAGAAGCCGGATAAGCATACGCTGAATACGACGAGGAACGACATGCAGCAGTTTCCTGGCTATTGACACAAGCGGCTTGTGGTCGGTATACAACGCTGTCTTTCTTCCGAAAGTATAATCTTTGAAAGTAGGTGTGTGTGACCTTAGCGTGTGCGTGCTAATCGTGCAATCCTGTGCTCTGCGCTAAATTGGACGTATCCCTTCACATTCTTGTGCCACGTCTTCGGAAGTACGCTCAA